GTGTTATGACTGTGTGTTTGCTGTGTTAGTGTGTCTGTATGGGTGTCTTTATGCTATATGAGTATGTTCGTGTGTGTGGTGTTACTGTGTGTATGGGTGTGTGTGTTGACGTTTATGTGAGTGTGTTAGTGTGTGCTGGGACTGTGTATGTTATGACTGTGTGTTTGCTGTGTTAGTGTGTCTGTATGGGTGTCTTTATGCTATATGAGTATGTTCGTGTGTGTAGTGTTACTGTGTGTATGAGTGTGTGTGTTGACGTCTATGTGAGTGTGTTAGTGTGTGTATGAGTGTGTGTGTGCTGCCCAGGGTCAGAGGAGTATCCATTACTCCTGTCTATAAATACCCAGGATCACTGACCAGCACAGGGAGGTAGCAGGAAGTGCTGTATCCGGGTTCACAGGCACAGAAAGTGTCTGTTACTCTCCCAGCAGGACAGTGAGGGGAGAGCTGTTCATCTGCCTGTCTGTCTGCCAGTCTATAAGTGTGTCTCCCTGCCTGTCTGTCTCCCTGCCTTGTCAGTCAGTCTGTCAGTGTGTCTCCCTGCCTGTCAGTCAGTCTGTCAGTGTGTCTCCCTGCCTGTCTGTCTGCCAGTCTATAAGTGTGTCTCCCTGCCTGTCTGTCTCCCTGCCTTCCTACCTGTCTGACAGTCTGCAGAGATCTGTCACCGTGAATCACTGCTCCAGTTGTTCTCCGAGCAGCTGTGTGCCTCTGGAGCTCAGAACGCCTCTGTCTCTCCCCTGCAGGCCAGTCTGCAGTCTGTGGACAGGAGGGTCCATCAGGCCACCCAGGGACCAGGAGCCCCCAGGAATGGATCCCCAGGTAACAGGAAACAGCCCTTCTTCCCCTGGAGTCTGGATGGCTTGTAATGTCTGAAAACAAGTGAGAAAAGGGATGATGCGTCTTCTCCCACTCTCTGCAGAACTCAGAGGACGCCCCCTGTAGGCGACCTGAGGTTCTTATTATCCCGATGACCCCCAGACTCTGTTCCACCACGGATAACCCCCTGGTCTCACCCCTGACCTCCGGCACTCCAACATCGCCGACAGGGCCCTTATCGCCCCTGTCACCTACCTCCCCACAGGCGGGCTCCCCCAGTAAAGACAGTGAGTCTCTCAGTGCAGTGGTAATGGACTGTAGTGTCCAGTGTGCCTGTATTAACCCCTCTCTCTCAGTGCAGTGTTAATGGACTGTAGT